CTTTGTGAGACCCGCTGGCTCCACTCTCTCCATCGCTTCCCCACGCGTTCATCGCTACCCCACGCGATATGACACAATTAGGCTGGGCCTTAAAATAATAAAAGTAGACTCAAATAACAATGGAAATTAACTTATTCACTTTGGCCATGACCCAGTTTAAGCAACACACTCATTCTTGTCAAGTGTCCCAACTCTGAGTTGTCACTCTGATGACCAACGCTTAAAAAAGTAACGGAATCCCAAGCCACGCTTGTGAGTCATTTAAACACGACTCTGGGATGCCACGCTTAAATGCGGGACAAGCACGCCAAACTTAGAGTATATATTGAAAGCCCAAATCATGTATCCGCCTCTCTTACCTGAATTATGTCAGAAGAGCCTGGCTGGCATAATTAGCTGATAAAGTGTGTTTATCCTGATTGTGGTGGGTTAGTATTGTTCAATTTCATATTCATGTGTACTGCTATGTAGAGTCGTAGATGTAATGTTATTAAGAAAATGGTAGGACTATAGTTACTATTGTTAATGTTTGATTATGATAACTATTAATAATTTATAATGTGATGTGATTTGTAACTCTTAGCTATGTCTTATGCATTGTATTTATTATTCTCATTTCTTGCCAGTAAATTACAGTAATAGTAAAGCGAAGTAAATTACACCTAGTAAATTACAGTATAGTAATAGTAAAATTACCTGAAGTAAAGTAAAGTAAATTACATGAAGTAAATTACATGAAGTAAGTTACAGTAAGTAACATTTGGCCAGTAAAGAATATTTGACCAGAAAGTGTTTGTAAAGTAAATAACATTTGGTCAGAGTTGTAATAGTTTAATAAATAATATCTGGAACTAAAGTAGTACAGTTCAGTAAAGGAGGCGCAGTTATTAGCACGAGAGAAGCCCACGGAATCAAACAAGACGGTAGCATATACTGTGTGTGTGTAACCCACAGTAAACTTCAAAGTCGGCACCTACCTCCTCGCAGTGCCAGTGACCGGAGACACGTACGCAGTCAAGCCGCCCAACCCCCCAGTACATTGTGACCCGTGCAGAGGGCTGCTGTGGTGTGTGTGTGTGGGACTTACTTATTCGACCAGATCGCCATTGAGAGCCTACTATGCATTAATATTGGGCAGTATCTTGTTATCCTGTTTATGTGTATAGTATATGTAATGTGTATGCTGATAGTCCTGTTTTTATAATTAAACATTTATTTGTGGGCTGAACCATTCTTGTGTTATTAGTATAGTTAAAGTATTACTAGAATTGCAAGTGAGAGCTAGTGAGAGTTCATTGAATGATAGAGTGAGTGTGAAGTAGGATTAGTGTAGAATAGTTCATTAGGAAATTAATCATACCCTAGACATAGCAGTACTAATCTAACGTAGAGGAAAGGGACCTTTGTTTGTTAATACAAACATTAAACATTTCAAACCCAATACTTTTAACAATTGGGTCAGAACATAATTAATTACAACACATCATAGTTTTGTAACATATTGTTTATTTTACTACATTTTTTTTTCTTTTAAACAAATCATTTTCTTATTTTCTTGACCAAAGTGACTTTTAAAGTGGAAATAGCTGTATCAATAAAAGAATGAAACATCCCAACCCAAATTTGTGGAAACGTTTGTTACTGTTTGAAAGCAGCGGTGTTTATAGATTTAATATATATTTTTAGTGTATCATATTTACAACGTGGTGGATGGGACTCATTAAATTTGGGTGGAAACTCATCTAGGAACTGAGGAAAAACTCTGAATTCAAAACTTGAGATGCAGTTCGGTAGCAGTTATGACATTAAGTTAATGAAATTTCGGGCATCCACTGCGACGATACTTGTGCCAAGCTGCATCATCTACATATGATGTTCCCTTGGCCTCACCCAAATACAATGTATTTTTATACCTTTCAGCATTACATCTCATTTTAAAAGTTGGCAACATTATGTTTTAAGTACATTTTTTTCATGTTTTTTAAAGTATTTATATTAACTTCGCTTTTGTTCGTGGCTGGCTGCCTCACTGACTGGCAAAAATCGTCAGACGGCTAATTGAATCACTTCCCGTCAGCCTAACGAGCTTAAATTAGGCACATAGACCTGTTGCCGATGACAACACATTCTTTCGAATGTTCACACTCTAGCCCCAACCCTAAAAAATCCTTTTCTTTTCTTCTGTTTTTCAAAGGGAGAGAGAAGGAAATATGATGACGCTGATTTCATGAAATAAAATTCCCGATAACTGCGCTAAATGAAATTCATAAACATTTCGCAAGTGTGTTTGGTGCGTAATATTTTCTTTGATTTTTCTGAAATACTTGGTGAAATAAATCTGAGGTGTAAAAGTGGGTGGGACATTTGTTGAATTGGAGATAGTAAACCTGGATTACTCATCAGTGGACGTGCCTCAGAAAACACTTCGCTGGTACAGCCCCTTATTCGCGGAAACATTTTATAGGTTTACACTCATCTGAATCTGAATCAGCGAAGTGGACGCCAAGCTTTGAGGATCTAGCCAGACATCAACTTATAGACCATCCTTTGAAGATCTGACCACAAGACAGCAGCTTATAGACCATACCTTGAGGATCTAACCAAAATACAACAACTTATGGAACATCCTCTCTGAGCAAATCTAGATTTTTTTTTTTTCAAATTTGTATTGTGTCCCTTTTCTCCTGATGCCCTGAGCATGGTTAACCTGATAACATTGCAGTTTTCTCAGGGTGAAATCGTTAACTAATTGTTCGGTGCCAAGTTAGCAATGCTTTACTTTTTCAAAAAAACAAACAGAATCAACAGAATGTTGTCTACATTTTCCTTGTTGTTTTATTGTGGTAGCCAAAAGAGAGGGGCCGACAGTCATGAATAGGTCACTGGTTATAATACAAGTAACATGGTTTTTAAGCTCTTGTAAACTCCATAGGGTGTTCCTGTTAAATACCTCCTTTTTTTTAACCATGGATTGTGTCTTTTCCACTCACATGAAGCTATTTTATTTTCAAGAAATGTAACATCTTTTGCTCAGAATTATGTTGGAAAATATATCCCAACAAGCCGTCATCCACCCCCTCCCAGCACTCGAATCCAGTTGTGTTCATTTATCCTTGAACCACAATTAATGATAAGGTATCTGTCCGTCTCCAACACTGACTTTGAAGACAGGCCTGACGTGTCAACAAGCTGTTGGTATTTTGTGTATGCCTCTTAGTCTGACATTTCAACAAGTTGTTGCTATTTTGTGTGACCCTCTTAGTACAGTGGAGAAGAAGGTTCATTTAGAATGGAAATTATTGCCTAAAAAAACTTGCTCCATTTATGTGTTTTTGGTGTAGGACGAACTTTTAGAAGAAAAAATGTACTAAATTGTATGGTGCAAATTGTGTTTAGTGCTCATAAGATGAATCGTAGATTGAATTTCGCTTAAATTTTATATGGACACGGTAATCCACAGCAATAGTTTGTTTTTTTAACATAATTACCACCAGAACCTGCAACGGGTTTAATGTAAAGTTGTGTACGTTTTAATTGCATTAAATGAATAATAATAGAAAAATGGCCAGCAAAAGATCCAAAACAAAATGTAAGCTAAATGGTGAGTGGTCCAGATGAAATCTCTTGCTGATTGGCCAAGGGGAAATCTCTTGCTGATTGGCCAAGGTGAAATCTCTTGCTGAGTGGTCAAGATGAAATCTCTTGCTGAGTGGTCAAGATGAAATCTCTTGCTGATTGGTCAAGATGAAATCTCTTGCTGATTGGTCAAGGTGAAATCTCTTGCTGATTGGTCAAGGTGAAATCTTTTGCTGCGGGGTCAAGATGAAATTTATTGCTGAGGGGTCAAGATGAAATCTCTTGCTGAGTAGTCAAGATGAAATCTCTTGCTGAGTAGTCAAGATGAAATTTCTTGCTGAGTGGTCAAGGTGAGAGAATGTTAATTCCATTTGCGACTTTATATTCGTGTTAAGCTTTATTTTCGGTGTTCCAAATTGTTAGTATTAGTAGGCATTGCTATTTAGAGATGACTACGAGCTCCTACGTGTATTTAGAGTTTCAATAATTTTAGTGGTTCAACAATGTCTCGTGAGCAGAACGTGACGCAGTAAAGAACAAAAATAACGTATTAAATAACTAAACATGACGTAGTAAAGAACAAAATGAATTTAGAATGAACGAATTTTTTTCAATCGATACTAAAACTAGTGAATCAAATAAATAAGTATAGATTCTATATCTACGAACCTAACAAATGCAAAACAAATTGTTTTAAAAAATATTGCATCTTTAACATTACAGAAACACGCAAAAAAACATTTCCAAACCGGTACTTGTCTCTCCTAGTGACAGTACATCTCTATAGTACGTACTCTCTTGACACTTGTCTCTCTTATTGGCAGTACATTTCTATAGAACGTACTCTCTTGACACTTGTCTCTCTTAGTGGCAGTACATCTCTATAGTACGTACTCTCTTGA